TTTTATATCTCTTTTATCTTTCAACATATACTAAATAACTTTGCATCATTAATATGTTCTCTTAAAACTATTTCAAAGATTTCGTACTTGTCCCCTAAGATTTACCCCTTTAAAAGTTATTGCCCCTTTTACTGAAAACCTTGTTATCGCTACTCCTCCGAAACCGTAAACCGTAGAGGCACAAAACCTTCACTAATGTCTTCAGTGTCTTTAGACACAACTTCAATCTATTCAGTGCGAAAGTATCCATTGACCCCTTATATGAGTTACTGCCCTTTAATGTATTTGCGCTTACTATTAAACCTTATAACTTCAAAACTAAAAGGCATAGAAGCATGGGGTCAAGTGCAATGTGACCCTTGACCTTTGACCTTGAAAATTTGTTCAAGGTCAAAGGTCAAGGTCATTTCAAATTTGTTAAATTTTTCATTTTTTCTATCTTTCAAGCCATTTATGGATTCTTTTGGTATAAAAATTAACTTTATAGAGTAAAATGTGAAAAATATATGAAATTTAAAGAAGGTGGAAAGACCTCTAATTGTTCGAGAACAATTAGTTTACTAGTTATTATTATTCTTCTTCTTTTTCTTCCCGGACTTTTGAAACCGTAAGACTTATCGAAAAACTTTATAGTTCATGATACTGGACATTAAAAGTTATTTCGAAAAACGACCCCCCGTGTTTGACCCATGACCTCTTACGAAGTTATTGCCCCTTTCGGAAGAATAGCCTGTTATCGCTACTCCTTCGAAACCATAAACCGTAGAGATACAGAACCTTCACCAATGTTTTCGACTACTCGAGAGGACTTTTCAATCTTTTCATTGCGAAACGATTTGTCGAGCCCTTTAATAAATTACTGCCCCTGAGAGTTTTTGATGTTTACGAATAATGACAAAATTCTCTAAACGATAAGTCGTAAAGACATGGGACCAACTGCATTAGATTTTGTGACCTCTGACCTTGAAATTTTTGTGAAGGTCAAAGGTCAAGGTCATTCAAAACATGAGAAAATTAGCTTTTTTAATATCTCTTTTGTCTTTCAACATATACTGATTATCTTTGCATCTATAATATGTCCTTCTAGAACTATTTCAAAGATTTCATTCTTGTCCCCCGAGCTTGACCCATTCAAAAGTTGTCACCCCTTTTGCAACAAAACCTTGTTATCGCTACTCCTCTGAAACCGTAAACCGTAGAGATTCCAAACCTTCATCAGTGTCTTTGACTCATTTAGTACTCTCTTCATTCTATCATTGCGAAAGCATTCTTTGGTCCCTTGTATGAGTTACTGCCCCTGAAAGTTTACGCTACTTACATTTAATGAACTTATGTTTAAAACGGTGTATCCTAGAGACATGGGACCAACTGCATCGGCATATCTGACCTTTGACCTTGAAATATAGGTCAAGGTCAAAGGTCAAGGTCATTTAAAAAACGTAAGAAATCCCTTATATATGTGTAAAATATAGCAATTCGCCAAATGACCTTGAACTTTGACCTTGACCTTTGACCTTGACATTGGGTCAAATGGAAAAGTTAGGACATGCATCCGGCTCCAGTATCAGGTAAAAATACAGAAAGTAAAGATTTCTTTTTTTTTTTGAATGACCTTGACCTTTGACCTTGACCTTTGACCTTGACTCAAAGGTCACAATAAGGCTTAAGGATGTGGAAGTAGTTACAATTCTTAGTTTGAAAGAGGCATAAAATAAATAATTCAACCCCCCCCCCCCCCTTCTTCAAAAAAAAAAAAAAAAAAAAAAAAAATCACATCAACAACAATGTAGAATATTACTCTAGAATTCAAACCAGACCTCGGATCGACACCAAATTTGGTACAAATGTAGTACAGACCTCAGAGAAACTTTCTGGAGAGTTTTACGGTGAGTCTTGTAAGTTTATAGAAGTCATGAAGTTTCACAGCAAAAACTACAAGTTCTGTTGTGTTTGAAATTTAAGTGCAGGTGAACGAAGAAATGATCTAAACCTTTTATCGGCTATTTCTTCAGATGTCGTTAGTAGCATTTAATTCTCCTGATATGATACGACATTTTAATACCAAGCATTCTCTCTTTCTTTTACATTTGGAATTTATTTGATTTTTATTTAGAATTAATCAGTTTCCAGAAATAGCGATTTTCGGTATAATAAAAACAATTCTCGCTTTCATTGTCGTGTTTCCCTTCTAGAAATGCATGTTGGGAATTTAGTTTGGGCTACACATATTTAATTTAACCCAAAGAAATGCTTATTTAAATGTTTCATATTTATTTCAGGATATTCAGTCAGAAATGTTCAATTCCGAACCCGATCTTTTAAGCTTACAACGAAGCTATTTACAAAAAATTCAGCATGCTCACAATATGGATGAATCGGGCTTACAGTCCATTAATACATTTTCATTAGGGAACAGTGTTAACGTTTTCCCTTGTTATTTTATATACTGCTTGCAAGTTCAGGAACTATTTCCTTTTACGGAACTTCTTTCTTCCGATTCTAAAAATACGCTTGCATTTCTTCTATAGTCTTAAACAATTAACTTACATATGTTATCGGAATGCGTGGCCGAATGGTTAGCGCACCTGCCTTTCAATCCAAGGGTTTTGAGTTCGAGCCTAGCTGGAGGAGCATTTTTTTTTTTTTTTTTTTTTTTTTGCATTATTTGCATTTCTCTCCTTTTCTTCAACCCAAATGACACGGAAACACTTAGAAAGGTGGAAAGGCCTCTAATTGTTCTCTGAACAATTAGTCTCCTAGTTATCATTATTTTTATTATTTTTCCGCCGAATGGTTTTTTTGTTTTAAAAGTTATTGAAAAGATTTATGGTCCATAAGAATGCACTTCGTAAAAGATTTTTACAGTTGACCCTGCGTATATGAACTTTGACCCCTCAAGGAGTTACTACCCCTTTCGCAATAAAAGCTTGTTATCGCTACTCCTTCGGAACCCTAAACCGTAGAGATACGAAACCTTCACTAATGTCTTTGACTAATTTAGTAGACTCTTCAATCTATTCAGTGCGAAAGGTTGCATAAACCCCTTTAATTAGTTATTGCCCCTGAAAGTTTTTGATGGTTACGAATAATTAATTTTTTTCTAAACGATTAATCGTAGAGACATGGGACCAATAGCATTGGCATGTGTGACCTTTGACCTTGAAATTTATATAGAGGTCAAAGGTCAAGGTCATTCAAAATATGAGAAAATTAGCTTTTTTAATATCTCTTTTGTCTTTCAACATATACTGAATATCTTTGCATCTATAATATGTCCTTCTAAAACTATTTCAAAGATTTCATTCTTGTCCCCCGAGCTTGACCCATTCAAAAGTTGTCACCCCTTGTGCAACAAAACCTTGTTATCGCTACTCCTCCGAAACCGTAAACCGTAGAGATTCCAAACTTTCATCAGTGTCTTTGACTCATTTAGTACTCTCTTCATTCTATCATTGCGAAAGCATTCTTTGGTCCCTCGTATGAGTTAAAGCCCCTGAAAGTTTACGCTGCTTACATTTAATGAACTTTTTTTTAAAACGGTGTATCCTAGAGACATGGGATCAGCTGCGTGGGCATGCTCGACCTTTGACCTTGAAATATAGGTCAAGGTCATTTAAAAAACATTAGAAATTCCTTGTATATGTGTAAACTATGGCAATTTACCAAATGACTTTGACCTTTGACCTTGGGTCAAATGGAAAAGTAAGGACATGCATTCAGCTCCAGTATCAGGTAAAAACATAGAAAAGTAAAGATTTCTCTTTTTTTCTTTTTTTTTTTGTAATGACCTTGACCTTTGACCTTGACCCAAGGTCACAATCAGGCTTAAGGATGTGGAAGTAGTTACAATTCTTAGTTTAAAAGAGGCATAAAATAAATAATTAACCTCCCCCCCCCCTTCTTAAAAAAAAAAAAAATCACATCAACAACAACGTAGAATATTTCTGTCAAATTCAAACCAGACCTCGGATCGACACCATATTTGGTACAATTGTAGTATAGACCTCAGAGAAAGTTTCTGGAGAGTTTTACGGTGAGTCCTATAAGTTTATAGAAGTCTTGAAGTTTCACGGCAAAAACTACAAGTTCTGTTGTGTTTGTAATTAAAGTGCAGGTGAACGAAGAAATGATCTAAACCTTTTATCGGCTATTTCTTCAGATGTCTTTAGCAGCATTCGATTCTCCTGATATGATACGACATTTTAATACCAAGCATTCTCTCTTTCTTTTACATTTGGAATTTATTTGATTTTTATTTAGAATTAATCAGTTTCCAGAAATAGCGATTTTCGGTAGATTAAAAACAATTCTCGCTTTCATCGTCGTCTTTCCCTTCTAAAAATGCATGTCGGGAGTTTAATTTGTGATACACATATTTAATTTAACCCAAAGAAATGCTTATTTAAATGTTTCATAGTTATTTCAGGATATTCAGTCAGAAATGTGAAAATCCGAACCCGATCTTTTAAGCTTACAACAAAGCTATTTACAAAAAATTCAGCATGCTCACAATATCGATGAATCGGGCTACAGTCCATTAATACATTTTCATTAGGGAACAGTGTTAATGTTTTCTTACGCAGCCCGTCCCTTATTATTTAATATACTGCTTGCAAATTCAGGAACTATTTCCTTTTACGGAACTTCTTTCTTCCCCTACCGATTCTAAAAATACGCTTGCAATTATTCTATAGTCCTAAACATTTTAACATACTATTGTTATCGGAGTGCATGGCCTAATGGTTAGCGCACCTGCCTTTCAAAGCAAGGAGGAGGTTTTTTTTTTTTTTTTTTTTGATTTATTGCATTTTCCTTCATTTTTTTTCATCCCAAATGACACGGAAACACTTTAAAAGGTGGAAAGACCTCTAATTGTTCTCTGAACAATTAGTTTACTAGTTTTTTTTGGCCTTATTCATGTCTCTAATTTCATAGCTATAGTACATGTATACAGTAAGATTAATACTGAATTTCATTTTTTAAAAATATTTTTTACTTACCAAGGGAAGGAAAATATGACTTGTAATAACAAAACCTCTGTATTTTGTACATAAGGCTTCCTTTCTTAGCCGCTGCTGCAAAGATAAGATTGTTTGTTGGTTAGAACCACATGAAATTCTGCAAATCTACAATTATATATGTACAACATAATTTGTAGCTGTTCCTCTTTTCATGAAGAATTTTCTGGTGCCTCATTTATCTAGGGGCTAAAAAATTCAGAAATTAATCTTTCTAACAATATTTTTTATTTGCTGATTATTCTTACATTACAAAAAGACTCAACAGAAAGGCTTCAGTAATCTTTATGCAAACAATTCAACTAATTGATTTTGTTTGAGATGAAGCTGTCTGAACTCATAATGCTCCTTCAGTATAACAATAACATCCAAGTGAGAATTTTGAAAGTTTTTTTTCATTACGTCAAGTCAAAAATCTCTCTGGAGTTATCCTAAAATGTAATATATTCTTGATGTACTTCTGTTGCTTTTACCTAAGGATTTTACAATTACCGGTAACACACTGACTTTGTTTTATAATTAACTGTGGAGTTCTTATAAGACACTGATTTCATTTAATGGCATATTAATTGATGACAAAAATATACATGTAGAAACAATGTGAACCTGCATTTCAAGTCAAAATGAAATAAAAATGTGTTTTTGAACCCAGGAAGAATCAGAGGGTGCAACATATAAAAATTGTAGTGGTATACCCTTCTTTCTTATTATGCATAGTGGGGTATTTTTATATAGACGGATTATTTCGGGTTTTTCATGATTTTTCCCACGGTATGCATAATAAAAAGAGTGTAATGAATATAATCTGTGAAAAAATGTTGAACAAGCCTTGAGCCTTTTTCATTATAACTTGTAATTTTTTGGTAAAAAGCACACGAATCAGAGCAACTCCATTAATGTGATGACAACAATTGAAAATTAAATCCATAATTTTAAATATTTGCCATGCTTGGCCATAAGTAATGTCCATTCTAACACATATCAGAGAGATGCTTTAGCATCGTGACTAAACATGTCATATTTATACTGGAGACAGCGAAAATTCTTAAAAAATTCTTAATATGAAATTTTTAAAGCTGCAAAAAATGCCAATAGTAAGTACAGTTGTTTGACCAGTTCCGAATTTTGATCAGTTCTGAATAATTAATAATTTAAGACCTGATAATTAATAAATTCAAAAGTGTAAACATAAATTCATACATAAGGTATGAAAGCTTATCTGTGAGTGTTAGAATTATGTGAAGTTTTGATTTTTTGCCGTCAGTTTGTGTTCGCTATCATACTTGAAACAGGTGACATACTTTTACAATGCAACAAATCTGAATCATCACAGCGCATTTGTCTGCAGAAAAACGTCTGTAAAGACATCAATTTTTTCACATAAAACAACATTTCAACTATCAAAAGTAAGTTTCATATGTATTTTAACAAATACCAAAAGCTTGCTGAAAATAAATAGTTAGACTACCGGAAAATATTTGAATATTTTCGTGTTGTCATTTACTAGTTCCGAATACCCATTATAAACACTATATAATATGTTAGTTTTCTGTTATTTCTTCATTGTAAATGTGACTGTTATTTCTCTTTATCCTTTGGAAATACCACTTGCTTACTGGTAAGCATTTATTTTAACTATTCCTAGGCATATCAATACGCAAGTTTCGAGATAGAGGTGCAAAAAGTATCCATATCAGCATGAAAGTGGGACAGGTTATCAATGTCCACAAACGTGCATAAATAAATACGCGATGGCTAGGGCTTTTAAAATGTATTTAATGTTATGGAAAGATTATACATGAATACATAATGTCTAACAGTGATGGTTTTGATGATTGTGTTGATCTATACTTTACATGTTTTACAAAATCTACTTTTAATTAGGATACTTGAAATCAAAAGAACCCTCATAGTTTTTTGTGAAAAAGACGCTTCCTTGATTACAAACCTTTTCTAAAAAAAATGATGGACCTTTTGAAATTATTATAAGGGAAAAAGTCGATGTGTCATTCAGAATGTCGGCGTGCAAAGATCAGATGCACATGTATAGGAGATCCATGTCTCTTCCCTTGTCTGATTTATTATCCAATGATATTTTAGTTTTATTTCCAATTTTTGGGTAGAAAAACAAATTAATGCCATTACTAAAATTCAATTATTTTCGAGTTGATGAGAGCATCCCGATAGACAGTTATGATAGACCGGTATAGATGATGTAACGTATCCAATATAAACAACTGTCCCACCTGCCGGTTTATGCTGAAACAAAAATTCCCCTCTGTAACGAAAAAGGGCACCAAGGGAGATAATCTCGAAACTTGCGTATTGATAATGTGTGGGATGGATATTTTTAATTTAGGGTCGAATTGCATGGGAACCGCTAAGGTATTCGGAACTTGTCAGCTTATTCTTAACTAGTAAAATGAGTACCCATGTTAACTTGCTAAAATTAAAAGTTTTTCTGAAAGGCTGAACTTTTATGAAACTACATTTAATTCTGCAAGTCATTGAACTACTTTGACAAACAAATTAGATTTTGAAATGATGCCGTCATATATTTATAGCACCGCCTAATTGGTTCCCTATTCGCAACTGGTCAAACGACTGTATAGCTATAAACACTACACGCTGTGGTACATTGTTGATATAAAATTTAATAATAAAAATGATTCTTTCATGTTGATTTTTTTTTCAATGTTTTACACAGTTTTTTGATGAGAAATGTACAGTATTTTTACCCAAATTTCAGCATCAACAAGGCTACTGTACAGTATTTGGGTCTAAATATTATCACATAACATGTAAGATACTTTTGTAAATTGAGAACTAAAACCTTAAGGGAAGTGGAAAATAGCTAGAAGATTCAAATTTTGGAGGAAAGGTTACTTTCTTTTTTACCAATAATAGTCAACAGCTGCTCTACATTTATCTCCTTGAAATCTATGACCTTTCAAGGCAGTTTCGACATCAAATCACTGATGAATGTACCTTATTAAGTTATTAAACACAAACTGAGATAGAAATCACAATGATTATGTTGAATTTAAAATGAAGCAGAAACGAACAACAAAAATTAAATAAAAATACAAAAACAAATCTGCTTGTTGAATTTGATTTATGTAATTTCATTTAGAGGAAATTCGCAATTACCAAAAAATGCATATTTTTTCAACATCTGATAATAAAAGAAACTTGAAATAACGAAGAATGTCTTTCATAGTAATATTCATTTCATAATATTTCAACATTCTCACCCCCAGCCATTTTGGAGCGGAAAAAGCCACCACACCGTCAAAACAACGTCGGAACGACCTTGTTATTGGAAGGAGAGAACACCGATCCCGATTACAAGAATATCATAATGCAATCGCGTCTTCTCGGACCTCTCCGGCAAGCTCGGAAAACACGTTCTTTTCCGCTTGCCGGAAAGGCACGAGAAGTTGCGATTGATCAGTTCTATTCGAATCACAGGCACTTGATTTGGTAATAATTTTTAACCCATAGTATAATTATTATATTGGTTAAAAAATGAAATATCGAATGTGCCTGTGTTATTATGGGTAAAAAAATTTATTACCGAATCAAGTTCCCGTGTTATTATTATACTATGGGTTAAAAAAATTATAACCGAATCAAGTGCCTGTGTATCAAGATCATTCTACAATTAGACAGAAATAAAGTATCAATTTGAATTGTTTCAGAATAAAGGATTCTGTACAATCAAGTATATAGTATTACCGGTATATAAGAAATCAATATTGTACAGGACGACAATAATGTAATATTGCTTCAATCAAAGCTTATAAATAATTCTTCCATCGCAAATATGAACAACAGAAGTATATAAACGTTCTTTTTTCTGTCATTGACATTGTTAATTGCAACAAAAATTTCTGACATCAAAGTTGCAGCTCATATTGCTTTAATTCAAAAAATAAAATAAAAATACAAAAGAATTTAGACATCGCGTAAACGACTTACCAAAAACCGTCAGTTGATTGTAAAAATTGCTTGCATAAAAAATATCTTAATTTAAAACTCTTTGTAAAAAGATATTAACTCCATTTTCAAATTAATGTAAAAAGAAAGTTATTCGCATAATAACATTTCGGTCTTCGTTGTAACTTCTTTTGTAAACGGGATCCTAGATAAAACTTTGATCCCATATATTGTGGCTCCTCCTTACCCCAGGGGGTCGTGATTTGAACAAACTTGAAAATAAACCTGAGAATACTTCCATATCAATATGACTAATCATGCCTCTGATGTTCTTTAAAAGATTTTCATCAATTTTTTTATGCCCCCGTTTCGAAAATTCGGGGGTATATAGTTTTTGCCCTGTCCGTCCGTCTGTCTGTCTGTTTGTCTGCAAAAACTTTAACATTGCCCATAACTTTTGATTGGTTGGAGCTATGGCTTTCATATTTCACAGGTGTATTCCTTGTGATAAGACCTTTCTTTGGGTACCATGATATTTGACATTTTGACCTTGACCTTGGAGTTTGACCCAGTTTTGCAAAATTTTACCGAGCTTTAATCTTGGCCATAACTTTTGAACGGTTGGTGCTAGGGCTTTCATACTTCAAATATGTAATCTTTGTGACAAGACCTTTCTTTGGATACCAACAACTTTGACCCTGTGACCTTGACCTTGGAGTTTGACCTCATTTTGGAAAACTATAACCTTTGTTACAACTTTTGAATGGTTGGTGATAGAGCTTTCATGCTTCACATATGTAATCCTTGTGACAAGACCTTCCTTTGGATATCATCAAGTTTGACCTTGACGTTGGAGTTTGGCCTACTTTTGGAAAACTTTAAACTTAGCCATTACTTTTGAACGGTAGGTGCTAGGGCTTTCATACTTCACATATGTAATCATCAACTTTGACCCTTTGACCTTGACGTTGGAGTTTGCCCTTCTTTTGAAAAACTTTTACCTTGGAAATATTTTTTGAACAATTGGTGCTAGGGCTTTCATATTTAATATGTCTATTCCTTGTGACAAGACCTTCCTTTGGATACCAACAATTGTAATCCATTGACCTTGACGTTGGAGTTTAACATACTTTTGAAAAACTTTAACCTTGGTCGTAACTTTTGAACGATGGGTGCTACGGCTTTCATATTTCACATGTTTATTCCTTGTGAAAAGGTCTTTCCTTGGGCACCATTAATTTTGACCATTTGACCTTGATGTTTGACTTACTTTTGAAAAACTTTAACCTTGGACATATCTATTCAATGGTTGCTGCTAGGGTTTTCAAATTTCACAGGTATATTCCTCAAGACAAGACTTTACTTTGGGTACCAACATATTTGATTTGCATTTGAGAAAGTTTAACCTTCGCTATAAGTTGCCATACGGGGGCATCAGTGTTTCACAAACACATCTTGTTTCTATATATCTTCTTATATAAAACTTTGATTCTTCATTGTGGCCCCACCCTACTCCCAGGGGTATGTATCGAACAAACGAATCTACACTTGTAATGAAGTTTTCAACAAGTTTCATCTCTTCTGGCTACATGATTCTTCAAAAGAATTTTTAAAGATATTTTCCTGTATAATCCTATGTAAAACTTTGCCTATTCTGGCCACACCCCACTCTAGGGGGTCATGATTTGAACAAACTTGATTCTACGCTATGCAATAAAGCTCGGCCCAGTGGTTCTTGAGAAGATTTTTATAAAAATGTAAATAATTTTCATCAGAACTTGCGAAATGATGACTTTGAACGAGACTATTGTGACCTTCTTATGGCACCCCCCCCCCCCCCAAAAAAAAACAACAACATATATTTGGGTATTAAAATCCACAGAGGCAATAAAATATTTTCTTGCATCAAGCTTTTTATGACTTAGGTGCTGATCAATTGAGAGTATTGTGTAGCTTAAAATAACGAAATTAAAAGTTGAGACCAGTGAGCGATTTTCAGTCATTATATATTCTTTATGTTTTTGGAAAAGTATGTTAAGTGAACCGTGTGTTCAAAAATATTAATTAAAACCTACATGTAATATTCCTATCATATAATAACAGGAAAAAAAAATATCTGAGTAAAAGATATGTAGTTAAAGTTCCTAAATGTAAATTTAAACAAATGTGTAGATTTGAAAAAATCTTCTTCTAAATGTCCCCAATAAATCTTGTTCTCTACGATTTTGTAAACAGTTTTTAATTAAATTGAAAATTGTACGAGGGATGTCCATAAAGTTTGTAGACAAATACTATAATTTTCTTAATAATGACCACGCTGCCAAATATGTACGATATTTTTTGATATACACATGTACATAGCATGTAGACCATGATTTAATAATGTATAAAAATTAAAATAATACACACTATATAGTCGTAAATAACAAATAATTTGGTATACAGTAAGACATCTTGGACCATTCAGTTTGACAAAAACGTCAGTGTCCACGATTTTTATGAACAACTCTCGTTTAATTTTAATCGTTTAGTTTACATATACAGTGTACTTTCTTTCGGCATGTCAATGTCAACGTCAACACGGCGACGTCATCAACATATTAAGCGTCTTAGCCCGTCTTCGACTTGGTTTTACATGGATTATCTCAAAACATTGTTAAAAAAAAACTAAAATAGTATGAGGCAAATAGGATATCCATAATTGTGTGATTTTATATATCTGCTTTATACATACAACTAATTGAAATTGTGTATATATTCGAGAGGCTTTTTTTAAATGTCTGAGCATGACAGTCCTTAAAGATAGATATTTATTAAATAGATCCAAAATTATTAGTTTGATTTGAAATAATCCTTGAAATGTTGTTTTTTACGTAGTCAAAAATCTTGACGCGAGCCCTGAGGAACGAACGACAACTCTGCTAAGGAGATTTAGATGCTGCAGTAAATTCACTTATGAAATTTAAAATCCGGCTAAGTTAAAATCATAAGTTTACTGCAAAAGTATTTTTAAAACCCTACGTAGTTTATCAAAAGTACTGCAATCCTATATATTTTCTACAACTGTTAAAGGGGGATTTCGATAAGGCCGTTTTTCGGCCCCTCACGAAATTTTATGAAATTTTGATTAATTTGTAGAAAAAATTCCTTATCTTCCTAAAAATATGAAAATAATTTATGTGACGCATTTTCCGGTCACTTGCTAATTGAAAATGTAAGTATACCCCCTTTTGTATATTTTTGGAGTAGACATTTTTATAGGGGGAAAGTGGATTTTTTAAACCGTCAAAATCGTAAATGAAATAGGATAAATATGAATAAATATATAAATTAACCAATTTCAACAATTTTTTTTACGGAAAATGGTATTTGTCTTATGCGAATAATTTTTAAGGTGCAACATTTTTCTGGTGTGTTAAATGTTACTTTTCTTTAAAAGAGGATGAATTGAACTTATAAAACGTAAACATATATAGAAAGTTTTAACATCATAATTAATCGACAGTTTTTACGTAAACTTTACAATCAATATTTAACATTTTCCCATACGAAATTGCAAAATGCAAATGAAAAGATATGTAGACATGAGATAGGTAAACGTAAAAACGTCATATACAGGGATATGCAATTCATTTTCATCAATGAGGTTATACAACTACATATTTTATAAAAATATACCTTAATATTTCCATTTCTATTTGTTTTCTCTGTGATAACTCTTTGAAAGTTAGGGGAGTTGATTTCTTGATCATTCTATCGGAATGTAAATTTCGCCAAGCGAAAGTTCAGGAGCTAAGAAGGCCTAATGTAATATGCATGTAAATCTCGTGCGGCTGCCTTTGTGTTTGACGTCAGTGGGCGTGGACTATTGAAATTGACATGTGAGGCCTCGTGTAATTTAAATCTTTTAGTCTACATTTTTAAAATCTAAATTTACAATTTTATTTCACAATGAAATGGAAATATAAGGAATCACTGTCTAGTTAGTAGAGTATGCCAGTGACATCAACGATAGTTGGAAACGCGGGATAATTAATGCATAACGGGCTTCGCCCGTTATGCAAATTATCCCACGTTTCCAACTATCGTTGATGCCCTGGCATACTCTACTAACTAGACAGTGATTCCTTAAATATCATAAAATTGAAATTAAATGAAATGTTTTGAAGTAAAAAGATTAAAAAATAAATGCAACTTTATATACATACATAAATATAAAGTTTATTCAAAAGAATCATATTGCTACGTAAGCCGGTACGTTGTAGGTGCAAGGTAAGAAAAATATTTTATCTGGCGGCCACCACATAATTATTCGGCGGTCGCTAGAAAAATATATCTGCCAAGTAGTTTTCCTGCGGCCACCACATAAATAATTGGCAGCGACCAGAAACTTATTTGGC